CTCACACTCCGCTTTAGAACTACTGTTCCAGCCTTACAAGATCTGCTCTAAGAAGCACATCGCCAAACTTGCATAATGGCACTGCTATGTTGTTTGTAAATCCATATTGCTCAGTTCTTTATTCAACCTATTTCTATTACTCTGAAGAAATTAACGTGTCTGTCAAATTTAAAGTAGATAACATTCAATTATAGTTCAATAATTGTGCTTGCAAATAATGTAAATGAGGCTTTAAAGGCACCATCTTTAGATTTGACTTAGGTTCCAGGAATTCAATGGAAAAAGAAAAATGAAAACATAAGACTAAAAAAATCCCCTTTGTGTTATTGGGTAAATGACTTTTTTTAGCTTTCAAAGTAGATAAAACCAACACCTTAAAAGACTTGTCTTTAACCCAGGCTTTCTTTTATTCAAGTGTACAATTGCGGGTGCACGCCTAGAGGAGTGATAGTTTTTTCCTAACAAAAGAGTCTGGATTCCACAATATGCCTTTTGCCAGCGGCATCGTTCCCCAAAGCACACAGCTAACTGCATCTCCTGCTGTACCTGTAACAATTTAATTGTATAAGTCAGCCTAGTCAAGCATCTCCAGCTCATGACTGGGAGACATGAAATTCATTGTCATTATTGTCCCTGTCATTTTGGATCATTATATCCTGCTGCAGAATTTTCCTCACTTCAGTGCATTTTTTACCTCCAGGAGCCAGGGATTATAGCTGAGGTTGGGGTGGGGGCAGGACCGTGAACTACATTTACCTCAGGGGAGCCAGAGATTAAATTGGCTTTGCTCTCTCTTGAGCTGAATTCATCTATTTGTATGCTGTGAGTTTTAGGTTGGAATAAAAATGAATATTCTAGTGAAACCTAGGCTTTAATTCCCCCTTTGAAACATGGATATAACCAACTTTTATTTACATTAGGAAAGCCAGTGTAATTTCTTGCAGGTTGCTATTTTCATATGTGCATAAGGAATATTTAAGGGCATCATCGAGTATGAAATAACAGACATCTCTCTCTGTCAATGCCTTGACTCTCAGAAGAAAGAATTTAAATCTGTAATTTTGTTCTCCAGTTTCATCTTATAGAAGCTTAATGGGGGTATTTAATGGTTTTAAATATTTAATGATTTTTAATTATATCTCATTTTCTGTGCACTGGATTGGATGACTGGAATCCAACTAGAATGGCACCAAAGATCTACTCTGGGAACAGGAAGATTGAAGTCAAGTTGAGAGGAAGACAAAATAAGTTCCTGAGGAAACTGGCTCCCCCCTACAGCTGGTTCACATACTTTCCCAGCCTGCCAAGATACTCATGCCTGTCATGCCTTAAATACTTCTTGCTGACTTGGGAGAGTTGCACTAGTCACCACATTCTCTACCTGGTAACCCCCTTATCGATGGTAACAGCCATGGACAGGGTCCAGCTGGACTCGCTGGTGGGAAATGGCAAGGAGCACATAGGAAACACTAGGATAAGTCTCAGAAAACCAGGGAGTGGACTACATGTTTTCTCTAACAGACTACAAAAAGAAAATATAACCTGGTATGTCATTTTCTATCCCAATTTTCATTTCATGTAGATTTTACTGAGAAATTTGACATTTACTTTGTCTATACTGAAAAAGATGGTAGTTATTCCTCCACATGTGTGAGTTTGTTTTTCAGTGGTTAACACCAAAATCTGGCAAGGGGTCATACCTATGCCAAGCAGAGAATAGCCACTATAATTACTACATTTAAAAGTATGTGGTCAAAAGATACAAACTTTCAGTTATAATATAAATAAGTCATGGAGATGTAATGCACAACAAGGTGACTATAGTTCATAATACTGTATTGCATATTTGAAAGTTGCTAAGAGATTAAATCTTAAAAGTCCTCATCACAAGAAAAAAAGTTTGCAACTATATGTTGATGGATGTTAACTAGATTTATTATGGTGACCATTTCGCAACATATACAAATATTGAATCATTATATTGTACACTTGAAACTAATGTAATGTTATATGTCAATTATATCTCAATAAAAAAGATAAAAAGAAAAAAGAAGTATGTGAAATTTATTTTATTACGGACTTTGGTAGAGAAATAGATTTTGCCTTAATCATATGCAATAGTCATCACTCTTTATTTAGGATGAACGGTTCTTATGAATAATTAAGAAAATTTATTGACCTTTGTGCATTTTGGACTTCAGAGGGAATAACTTACAGCCCTAACATCTGAGTGTTGAAGGAATCTTAAAGATTGTCTCAGTCACTGGTCCAAGTTGATGGTAAGGTTTACTAGTTTGTTCAACTATATTTTCAACCTATTAAATTTCACTTTTCACTGATGCTGAAGTAACTATATAATGTATTACTAGTGAAAGTTTTTAGTTAGCAAAACTTGCAGCATTTAAAAGTTCTTTTAATTGCTTGTGCCACTTTTTCATCATAATCAAGATTCTCCCAAGGTAGGAGTTATAAAAATTGCTGTTTCTGTTCACTTTAATGTGGTTAATTTTATGTTATGTGAATTTTATCTCACTAAATTATTTTTTTAAGTAAAAAAAAAATTATTTCAAGCAGCCCAAATGCATTTTTAAATCATTTGGTTGACTGTTATACATTCTCATAATGGTTATTTAAGGAGAAGAGTATTTTTTTTTCTTGTTAAGAAAGGTTTCTTTCATAAATTATAATGTTTACATATTGTTTGCAATGGTAAATGTTCAGGAAGTATTTTTTCCTGTCTGAAATATTTTGGTAGCAGGATGATAATGCTATTTTTCTGGTCAAGGGGTAAGGCATCCCTTTCTTTCTTTGAGCACACATTTACTGCATTTAATTTCTTTACCTATACACGCCTTTCAACCTTATTTCTCTGTTGATATTTAGTCTGCTCATCATACTATTAGGTAAAACAGGAGTTGTCCTATCTATGAATACAGTTGTGAAACCATAGAACTACACTTTGTTTCACATTGTTGCTTTGCCTTACCTTAAGCATGTCATGGTTAGGCCAGTATCATTTCAGAACAAGGTTAAAAAAATTATTTATTTCAAATGACTAGAATATAATTATTTTTACCGCTTCCATTCAAAACTTAAGATTTTACAATCAATTTTCAAATAACAATATGAAATTATTTCAAACAATAATTTTTAAATTTTTCAATAGTCTCTGCTAAACTCATAATTTTGCAACCTGTAACAAGCTATAAAAGCCAATTGTAGATTTAAAAAATTCTTCCTCCTCTTGATTCTAATAGGATAATGCTTCTTCTGCATATGTGACATAGATTTCCCTTGGTTTCTCTATGGAGAATTGATAAGAATCTATAATTCATAACAATATCAACCAATATAAAACAGATATCACAAATTCAGATATGACATCAACTAATAGTCCTCTTAAGGAGATTCAGATACGCACAAGCAAAAAAATTAATAAAAATAGTTAGTGCTCGATACATCACATGGTTGAGGAAATGACCAAGTATTTGAGAGGGTTTGTGCAGGAGAGATTAGCAACAAGAGGCAAAGGGCAGAAACATTTTCATGTCAGGATGGGCAGGGTGCCATCTGCAGAATGGCTTCTTACTCCCAATCACCCGATAAACTACAGTGGATTAACATTAAGGGTCTGATGCAGAAAAAGCAAATTTACAGTGAAGGTTGTCCTTTAACATGTAGGCTCCATCAGAGGCACCAAAAAAGTAGGTAAGTGCCCCCCCTGTGGTGTTTAGATGCTGGAAGGCACTGTAAACTGTGCATTTTCTAGCTTTTAATGTTTGTCTAAGACCCTTAACATTTTTCTAATATTGTCGCTCCTAGGACATTTTCTTGACTTTGTCCCCGTTGCCCTCTATGCACATATACATTTTGCATTCATACGTGAAAGCCTGACAGACAGCTAAATTGATTCAGAATTTAGAATCTGAGAAGAGGAACAAAAGGTGGTGGTAGCCTTGAGGATATCCCACAATATGAAGCATAAATATCAAAGTCTCCTGAAAAAAACAAAACAAAACACATTTCTTCATGCTAAGAGTTTAGATATCTAACATTAAATACAAAAGATCACATAATAGGGGTAAAAAAAATACTCACTGAGCTATAGAATCTAAGCCATCCTTTGTGTCACAAAATTTCTAAGACTTTTTGAACATATACAATTATCTGTGTCTAGCTGTTTCCTTAGAAATGGATATGCTCAGACTATTTTTCAATCCCATACACCCTTTAAAACCATTATAAAATTTCACAAACAGCTTTCCTGTTTTGTTTTGTATTGTATTGTGGTCCATCTGGAGATATATTAAGTGGTTAGTTCCTTCATATAAAAGTCTACAAAATTATATTGTTCACACACACAAAAAGAATGAACATTGAACACATGACAAATGAATACTAGATAATGTCACTGTTAGAAAACATCTAACAACAATAAAATAAGCAATAAAAACTGAGAGTTTGGTTTAACAGATGCAACACTCATCTACCTTCATCACATAAATTATTCGTTCAAGACTTGTGTCCTGTGGAAAATACAAACATGTCAATTTCAGCCCAGGGGGCATTTTTCCCCAGGTTTATAACCCCTTGAAAATAGAGGTTTCATCTAGAAAACCTAACAGATCTTCACCTCTTTTCAACATTATAATATATTCATAAGGCAAGTAGTCACTGGCAAACATATAACAAATTAAACGGCATGAGGATGGGGTCCAAATTCATAATGATGGAAAATGGACCAAACCAACCATGAGATACAAAGTAAAATCAAAGAAGAAAAGGAAGATACAAAAGCAAACGATATTAAAAGCAAAACACTATGGGGAGTTTTTCAGCTAGTATTAGAGAAAATGGTTAGTATATGTGTATACGTGTGCATTTGTGTGCTGTGTAAGATTAGCATTAAAAGTAAGGATGGGAAACGATCTCCTTTAGAATATACTATAAGGGTTATGAGTGAGAGAAAAGTATCTTGTTAAAAAGAAAAAATCACATACCATCATAGTAGACAATTGCTCCCACAAGTTTGTCCTTCTGGAGCATTGGGAAATGCTCAAGGGCTCTGGATTTGCTGAGGACATAACTGCTTTTCAGGCAGTTACTTCCTGCAACCAGGTCATATATCTTGATTCCAATCCAGTAGTAAGGTAACTGCCACCACCTACAGCATAAATAGGGGAAAAGGTTTATTTTTTTATTTTATTTTTTACTTTTTTGCTGAGGAAGATTCACCCTGAGCTAACATCCACTGCTAATCTTTCTCTTTTTTTTTTCATATGTGAGCCACCACCACAGCATGACCACTGACAGACGAATGGTGTAGGTCTGGGCCTGGGAACTGAACCCGGGCCACCGAAGCGGAGCACACGGTACTTAACGACTAGGCCACCGGGGCTGGCCTGGGAAAGGTGTCTTTAGAAACAGAATATAACATCATTGAATGTCAGTTTAAGCTGTAAGATAATTTTCACTTAAGAAAAGCAAAGTTTATCTAGAAGTGTCTTGCAAAAGAAACAGGAGAACTGTAAGACTGTTTATGACACCAGCCTAGCTGAATTATATAAGTAAAAGAATCATGAGACTGTAAACGAATCATCTCTAGGACAGTGGTTCTCAACCTGGCTGCATATTAGAATTCTCTGGGGAGCATCAAAAAGAATACAGATGTCTGGGCCTCACATGTCTAGAGACTGATTTAACTAAACTAGGGCAGAGGTCTGGGTGACTCTAATGTGCACCCAGGGGAGAGAATTGCTGGCTTAAGATGTCCTAAGAAATCTATGATAAAATATGGACAAAAGTTGTAAAATCTGTTTCTAAGTCCCCACAACACTCACGTGACTAACAAAGCTACATAATCCACTTTTTCATACTACCTGTATTCCAACTTAAGGCAACTTCATGGATAGCTCTAACAACATTAGGAAAATCGGGTTTTATAATTTATAATCTGATACTTCCAAACCAAATTTCAGTTTTGATTAACTGGGAAATTTAAAATGACCCAAAATGGTTTAAGTTTGGCGTTGGTACATGTCACGTTCAGATTTTGCAGCAGGATACTTTTTGGCTCTGCACTTTAGTCTGCAAATGACCCTCTTATGCTCCCCAGTGCAAACGCAGTTTCTCCTCTATATACTCTCAGAAAAATGGAGTAAGAAACTACTAATCATAAATACAGAACACAACCTCCTATGCCTTCAAGGCCCAGCCCTTAGAGGTGGGTCAGTAGAGAGCAGTTTAGGAAAAGCCACACTTTTAAATACAACAGAGAAAAATATTTGAAAAGGATTAAAGATTAGGACCAATTAAAACTACATTAAGAAACATACATTGAGGGACTATTTCCATTAAAACTGTGTTGTTCTATTGACTTCAGATAAGCAAATAGTATACAGATAGTATCTAAAGGCTTACTTGTAAATAGGAAGCATTATAGGCAACGGAGCTGATAAATGGGGAGCAATTTCTAGCAGGTTGGCACGCTCATGAAGGGCTTCTTTTACCATCCTATACTGAAAAGCAAAACAGAGAAAATTAGTTTGGCAGTAACAGATCATAATATTTTCAAATGGCAAATAGACACCCTGCCAACTGATTGATACACAGAAACCTCTCTACCTCTGAGCGAGGATAGCTCCCTCCTAATCAAATTTCTAATAATACATCATGCTGTCAACCTCAAAGATTTTTTAGAAACCCTAACTGTATTTGCATAGGAGAAAAACATGCTGTCAGAGTTCCCAGGTGTAAGATATTTTCCTGACTTGAGTTACAAGATTATTGTAACAATTTATCTTGCATTCTCCGTATTGTCCCTTTTCTCAGTCCCCTATAATATTTTCCCATGTAAGAGATAACAGATTGTTCAAATTCATGCTAAAACTTCCTTCTTGCCTCCACAAACCCAAGCAGAGATGATACTTAGGAGTTGCACAGTATTTTATAGATTATAAAAAAGCTTTTGTCTTAACTCCTTTACTCCTCACCGCGCCTCTCTGAGGAGCCAGTACTACTATTATAATACTAATTGTACAAATGAGAAAACTGAGGCTCACAGAAATTGAATGCATAAGCTGGAATGCCGCACAAGTCATCTGATTCTAAATCCTATGCTCTTTTCCTTTCGTCCATCATCATGCAGAAGAGACACGTAAGAAAAAGGGACAGATTCAAAAGTGACAATGTCAAGTTAGTGCTGCCGTGTTTTTCATGTACAAAAAGCAGATAGGGAGTTCAGCTCATTTTTTTTACCCCTCTGGGAAATGTCATCTTCCACACTGCCTTGGCAGTTTTCAAATGGTGGCAGACTGGACACAATAAAGTGTGACATAAGAAAAGCATGACTCAGATCATCTTTTCCTTAAGAATATGTCAGTAACAATGTAAATGTATGATTACAGTTGTAGTTAAGAGGATTAATTTAATACCCCTTCCGTATTACAACCCAGCTCCCCTGAAACTCCTTGGGAAATAGCAATTTGGCGGCCACTGGCAAAAAAAGCCCAATAACAATTGTTAAAAGGCAACACATCCAAAAGCGATTTTGTAAATCTGCTACTTGGACATGCCTGTGTAGAAAAAGCCCCTGATTACCCATAAACATAATGCTACAGGAAAGAACTGGCACACCTCTCCTGAAAGATATTCCAGCAAAATACACTAAATAGGTACTTCCAACAGGAAGAAATGTTAAAAGCCATTAAAAAAAAAAAAAAACTGATTTAATTGGGTAGAAAAAAGCATGGTTGCAATTTTTGTTTAACAACCAGCATACACAATTACCTGCTCAATATCCAACTTCATGATAGCCTTCTGAAGATATCTCACACCACCATGGATCAATTTAGTGCTTCTGCTGCTGGTCCCCGATGAGAAATCATCTCTTTCTACAAGGGCTGTTTTTAGTCCTGTGTAACCAGAAAACCAAATTAACTTCTTAAATTACACAATTTGTATGTAATTCATTAAAGGCACTTCTCCAGGGTAGAGACGATCACAAGAAAAATTACTCTGAACATGGAGAAATTTGTATTCAAAGTGCAATACAGTGTCTCTATTATAATGAAGAGATTTTAGTCTCTTCCTGGGGGAAAACTCAACCCAGAACTAGAAGCATATTAAACTGCGAATGAATCACAACTAGAAAATATTACAGTACAATTTCATGGCAGTAACACACTCTGGTGCATTTAGAGGGTCAAAGGAGAGCCTGGAACCCATCTTTAACCATATAGAGTTAACTCGGTGTGGTAACGAAGCCTTCTTCTACAAAACTTACATTCATCATTCACTCCAAGAGTCCACACATAGGCCAGCCCCTCATCTCTCACCTACTATAATGCATCATCAATAAATCCAGACTAGACCTCCTGTGTGCTGGCTCCTATTTCTGGAGTGGTGTTATAGTGGGTATAAAATGGGGAAAGAGATCAAAGATATCAAAACAGAAGAAAAAAGAAGAACCTCTGATATTGAGGAGTTTATAGTCTAATTTAAGACACGCAGGCACAATATTGTAGAATTACAAAGGGAAAAACAAGCCAGGACAAATGAACCCAGTGCAGAGTATCCATGAGCAAAGAAAAGAAAATATTCTTTGTAAAGGTGAGGTTGAGCAAAGATAGGTCAGTTCTAGAAGTCATCCCTCTGCTCCTTTCCTTGAGGGTTGCAATAAATCTCTTAGGGATGAAACTAATTTTGTTTTCTTTTCTTGCAGAGACACTCCTGCCTCTTCAGGATTAGGTAAGAGCAACAGGACCACAAGTCCCATACACTGGTTAAAGATGAAATCCAAAATTTCATAAGACCCAAAGTACACATCAACACCAAGCCGTGAGGAATTTTCATGGGCCGGCATAGTCTTGGGGAATAAGAGAATGTCATAGAATCCAGTCACAATGAGAATATGTAACTGGAGCAGTCTGGGCTCACAACACTCATATAAGAGAACTTGTGCATGTATTCAACGCAGAGCCATTTATTACATTTAATACCAAAGGGTCGTTTTTATAACTTTTAACAGTTTAAATATCGTACCCAAATGTCATCATAAAATCAGGGCAATTCCCTTGACTCAAAAGGACAAAATATTTGGAAACCGCGGACAGAAAAGTAGAGAACTTTGATTCAAGGGCAAAAACTGCTAATGCTCTAACTAACTAGCAAAATAACACAGAAATTACAGGTGTCATAGACCCAAGTCTCTCTTTTTAAGCATTTATGCCAGAGAAAGATCTGTAAAATTCTCAACTATGAAAACGCTAGCAATGCTTGGTAAATTTAGTATTTTGTTGTTGTTAGTGCCGAGTCTATTCTGACTCCTAGTGACCCTGTGTACAGCACAGCAGAACCCTGCCCAGTCTTTTTGTACCATCCTCTCACCTTCCAGCACTATATCATCCAAGGTGCCACTGCTATTCACAGGGTTTTCACAGCCAATTTTTCAGAAGTGTGTGGCCAGGTTCTCCTTCCTAGTCTGTCTTAGTCTGGAAGCTCCACTGAAACTTGTCCACCATGGGTGACCCTGCTGGTATTTGAAATACTGGTGGCATAGCTTTCAGCATCACAGCAACATGCAGCTGCCACAGTATGACAACCCACAGACAGGTGGTGTGATTCCCGGACTGGGAGAAGAACCTGGGCCATGGCAGTAAGTAACCACTAGACCACTAGGGCTGGCTAAATTTAGTACTATATGTATTAAAAACACAGAAAAACATATCAAGTTAGTACATATTTTTGAGATCCTAAGTGCCAGTCAAAGTGTTGATGTTAGAAATAAATTAGGCATGGATCAAGATGTCAGGTGGCTCCCGGCCCAAAGAGGAAAGTAAAGAGTGCAGCGGGGTTTTATAGGTGCTACATTTGAAAACACAGAGGAGTCTTATCTTACCCCAGGTTAAAAGTTAAATTTAGACATAAACCCCAAATTGCTTAGTCAAGATTACATTTGCAATCTCTTAAGAATGCACCGTCTTGGTGAGCTCTATCACCTTTTCTTAGTAAGTCCAACACAGAGAGTTCTTCTCCCAGCACTAAAATAGAACATTTTTTCTTCACTTGAAGATCAGATGAGGGAGTTGACTTTCAAATGGTATTTAAGAGCCGGATTATTTAAAATATACCTCTCTTTCAACCTTGGAATCACAGTCATGGCAACAAGATGCTCATACATGAGAGGCAGGGACATAGATGGAGAGGAGACAAGCAGCCTCCCATCCAGCCACGGCTCCCCTGGGCCTACCCAAAGGTACCCCCTACAGGCTGTGGGAGAAGACATCTTAGGCAGTCTCCAGTTATTCCCACTTCCTAGCATGTAGTCCTCTACCCTGGAGTGTGGGCTGGACTAGTGCCTTGCTTCTAAGGAACAGAATACAGCAACAGCGATGGCATGTCACTTCCATGATTAGGTTACAAAAGACCATGACTTCCACTCTCTCTCGTCAACAGGTCATAAGAAACGGAGGCCTCTGTCCAACAACCCGTGAGGAACTGAATCCTGCCAACAACCACATGAGTTGCTAGGAAGCACTGCAGCCTGCAAGTGACTGAGAGCCAGAGGACCCAGGCTAAGACACACCCAGATTTCTAACCCACCGAAACTGTGTGAGAATAAAGTTGTCTTAAGCCACAAAATTTAGAGGGTAGTTTATTGATGACACAATCACCTGTGTGAATAATAACGGCAGCCAAGGTAGGAGTTTTTAATTATACCTGGAGATGGAGTCTTCAAGAGAGGCTGAGTCTACAGAAGAGTAACATTCAAGATCGGTGGAGGGGAGGAGGAAGGGAATTATCACTGGCAAAGATCAGCTTAAGCAAGAGAAAGGCAAATGCCTGAAATGGCCCAGTTTATTCGGGGGCTGCTTGTCACTCTGGGGCTGAAGTGCAGGGTGCAAGGGATGAGGTGAAGGAGATCCAGTGGGAAGAATGGTAAAGGCAGACAACAAAGGGCCTTTCATCCACATCAGGATATTTGGATCCTGTCCTGTGGGCCATTGTTTCTCACAAGTAAGTAATACCTGGGTGTCCTCAAAAGAAAAATGCCTCTGAGAACATGGCTACAAATCAGGGATCAGTTTGAGAAGCAAATGCTTCATTAGAAAGTACAAGATTAGAAAGTACAAGCATCAATGCTTCAGTAAAAAGTACAAAGTACAAAGCAAAGGCTTCATTAGAAAGTACAAGCATCAATGCCACATAAGCATGAACTTGAATACTGTACTCAGTTACAAAGTATCCATTTGGAGGAACAAGGGCGTGCTGGTTGATTTTTTTTTCATTATAAAAAAGAAATAAAATTTAAATTTTTCCAGAAGTTCTCAGATGTTGTTTTGAGAAATATGATTGTACTGCCTGTCAGGGGAACAACCGAAGTGTTTTAAGCTGCAAAATCAGATTAATATTTTAAAAAGATTTCTCTCCGTGCAGCAGGGGGCCAGGGGAACTGGAGGCAGGAGACCATTTAGGGACCGGTGCCATACAGCATGAGGGGAGCAACGAAGACTCCAGCCTCACAAGGCAGAAGATGGTATTGCAGAGCGATGTGAACAGAGAATTTTATAGGCTTGTGTTATCAGGATGGATTTTTTTTTTTCTTTCACAAACTGACACAGTGTGAGGCAGGGAACCACTCTAGGAATTAGCAAGCCATCTCAGGAGGATATTTCAGGATATTTAAGTGAGAGCTAACACTTTAAAGCCTCAAAACTGCTTTTGCAAGAATTGGACATTTTAAAGAGTTATTCACATGTACTTATGTGAGAAACCCCAGTGAATACCAACAAAAGTTAAAATGGGCTTCTCTGTCAAACCAGGCTGTTTTTCTTGTCCCATTATTTCCAGTGTCACATCACCAAGCTACCCACCAGAATTTCTGGAAATGATACTGCTCCTTCCAGAGCAAAAATACATAAAAATTTAGTCTCTAAAGATATAGCTAAATTGATATATTAAAGCATCATGTAACCTAATAAGTATTACCAAAAGTTTTTGGAAACACAAAACAAAAAAATAGATACTCTAAAAAAAGAAAATATTTTAAAATTTTTTCAACTGCTATTATATGCTAAATATTCTAGATTTCTCATTTTTCTTGGAATGAGAATGATGGAATGAGGGAAGTGGAAAGTAATGCAAAATCAAGACATTATTAGAAGTTATAACCACTTCTCATAAATATATTCCTGAACTGATTAACCAACTACAGTAAAGAAAATGAAATTTTTAAAAGACTTAGAATGATCTTGCATGGTTCTGTTATCTAAAATGTTCCCTTCTGTTTCACTTCTCAAAAATCCAAACTTTTTTCCTCCCCTCAAAAATTACTGATCTGAAATTAACAGCTTAGTTTTCTGATATTTTAAGTATAAAGTGAGGAAGTGAAAAGAAGGTACTGTTTTATCTTCTCGAAGAGAATGAGCAATATTTTTAAGTGGCATTCAATGCTAACATTTTGTGTTCTTAGCTAAAATAATTGAGTTTGAAGGACATAAAAAATAATGTACCCAGGCGTCAAGAGACTACTCCTGGCTGTGGATCTGAGGCGCTGTGGAAGACCTTTCCTCAGAGCAGAAAGAATGACCTACCCACATGCCTGGCAACAAAGGGCTGGCCTCTCTGCATTTCCGGTAATTTACTAGTTAAACTAGTTGAAGATTTTATGAGGAACAGTTTTTGTTTGTTTCTTCTCTTTTTAGAAGTTACTTTTTATGGAAAGTAATAAGCTCTATCATTGCTAAGATAAACCAGAATATTTAGGAATGGTATTTTATTTTTTGTCTTTATTATCCATTGCTTTAATAAGTATTCTCAGGATTTTCATGACAGTGGTAAAGTATTAATATTTAGAATGAAATTACTCTGAAATTCTTAGGTGGAATAACAAGACTAGTTATAGTAGAAGAAT